GGGGTTGCGGAGTGACGATTAGTTGGGACCTTTGGGTCATGGCGTAAGTATAGGCGTGGGGTCGGCTATTCTTTATTCACTTTTGTATCCTATCATAGTAACGCTGCTGTTTGCTCATTCACAAACGAAATTAATCGTCCTGACGAGAGAAGCCATCCGCCACGAAACCGACGGCGGTACGCGCGGGTTGGCGAGCAGAAGCAAAGTACTGACTGACACTACGATTCCAAGTTCGCATGCTTTTGAGTTGAAGCTGAAGCGAAGAAAACTCAGGGGACTCAGTTGTCACAGGGGGAACCACTCTATGTAGATTCGGGTAGCACCGGTTCTGGTTGCAGTTGGAGGACCGGTGGTCGGCTGTGGAGTGGGGCCCGCAAAATGGCGTTTCAGACCCCATGCCTGTGAATTTAAATTTTCAACCCTTTTAACTCAATAACTGTAGGTAATAGTCCTTCGGCTGCTTTTCCTCTCATGGGTTTCAAGCGGAAGGGTCACCTCGAGTAGCACGCACGTACTTAACTGTAGCCTCCCACCACAGTTTTCTTGGCTTACTTTTGAAATATGGAGAGCGCTGTGACTCAAGTCGGGTGGGAAGATTCATCCTACATATGGGAGGTTCGAGACTTCCTCGATCTCCGTGAAATGGCCAAGGAAGACCGTCAGTCTACTTCAGTGAAGCTCCCATCCAGCNAGACTTCCTCGATCTCCGTGAAATGGCCAAGGAAGACCGTCAGTCTACTTCAGTGAAGCTCCCATCCAGCCGTCTCCTATAGCCACCGCACGCAACAAATGATGACCACCGCAAAAGGTTTTTTTTATGGCATCATTGTGACTCCCAGAAGTTCGTGGATAGGCGTACAGTGCGAACCTCTAAAGAGAGAGCGAAAAATGAGATTCGGAATATGGTGATTGACCCCTTCTGCAGACTGTGTTCGGCGTTGTTCGCAGCATCATGTTCTGCAAGTCGATTGGAGAGTCCTGTTTTCAAGTGCTTTTCCCTGTGGCTTTTCCCTAATGGCCAGGAACAGCACGACTCCGTTGGGTTGATAGACCTCGCCATTATGTTTAAGGGCAAGAGGGGCTCCGTTAGAGCTAAGTGGACTGCCTGCTTCCTTGATGAAAGGGGAGAGACGAGTCTGCACCTGCACTGTGATCACCTTGCACTAACTGTAGTGACCAAATGGGCCTTCTGCCAACAGTGAAAGTATATTGCTTGCTGTGCAAAATAACAGACGCAGGGCACACTGCAAGCAAAAAAACTTAATGTAACTAGGCTATTTATTGCGGCCATGTATTATCCATTCAAATAGAGCAAACCCTTCCTAATGGTTGCAGAAGCATTGTGGAAACAAGTAGAAGACCCACTGAGCAGACTTTGCCCTCGCTTTGCCGCTCTGTCTTCTGTGCATTTCAGTACCCCGCACCCGCCTCTCAGACCCTCTAAAGAAATACTCCCCTGCGGGAGACGGCCGACGATT